AGATGTGGTGAGAGCACCCAGCCCTGCTGAGAGTGCAAAGGACCCAGCGGGTGCTGCAGAGCATGCGGACACAGCGAGAGATGGGAGAGCTCCCAGCCCTGCTGAAACTGCAAAGAACCCGTCAGGAGCTCCAGAGTGTGCGGACACAGTGAGAGCACCCAGCCCTGCTGAAAGGGGAAAGGACTCTGTAAAAGCTCCACAGCACCCAGAAACAGCCAGAGATGTGGTGAGAGCACCCAGCCCTGCTGAAAGGGCAGAGGACACAGCAGGAGCTTCCGAGCCTGTGAAAAGTGCCAGTTACCCAGCGGTTCCTCAGCCTCAAATAGCAGCTGTTAAGAGCTCGAGAGCTTTTTCAGTGCCTATGGAAGTATCTGAACAACCAGCAGCCGCAGCTCCAGTGCATGCAGGAGTGTCCTCCAGGGATTTGGAAAGGTGGGCGGAGAAAGCTGGCCCTGTGTTGTAGATAAAAGTGGGCTGTGCTGGGTGGCCTTGGCAGTGTCCTTAAGGAGGGTGGGCGGAGGGGTTGGGATTGACTTCTTCAGTAGCTTCTGTTTGCACCATAGAGTCATAGGGAATTGGTGAGGGGCAAGGCATGGGGAAAAGGCTGATATCAGTGAGGTGGAACCATGTAGGTGAAATACTTACAAGCTGCTTAGTTTTGTCTATTTTGTAGGAGGCCCTTTAGAACTGTAACCACCTACGGGATTTCTGTTCTGAGAGAAGCTTTCAAGATGCTGACCAGCTCCCCGGATTCAGATGCACTCTTCAACAAACTGGATGAAACAGACTTACCTTCCCCCCAGCAAATGTCTCCTTCTGTATCCCACAGAACCAAGAGACGGAAAGAAGAGAAGAATCAAGGTTCTGAGACCATAGACTCTCCTGAAATACCCCATAAGAGCAAACGCTTGTTTACCATAAGCAAAATGGTCATGGACCAAAGCAGCCAGTGCAGCAAGTCAAGTGAAAGCCCAGACTCTTCCCAGGAACGAGTTGTATCTTCTGCCTATAGACCTGTTCAAGAGTTGTCTGACCAGCCTGTATCTGCTGAAAGGTTGAGTATGAAGCCTGTCTCTTGTGCTATGATCAAACCTGCAGCCAGTATTTTCACGTAGAATTACTTTACCAGTGTGAATGACAAGAAACCTTTCTTTAATTCAGTACGAGTGTATTGGCCTTCCTTCTCCACCAGCATGTGTAGTAAACTGTTGTTATAACTTGCTGTTTGGTACTAGAGGTGGCAGTGCTGCAGCAGCAGTCGCTCAGCCAGTGCCATTAATGTTGACAGGTGTTTCTGACAGCCTCGTGGTGGGGGTGGCCTTTGTGCCCCTTGAGAAGTAGAATCTCAAACTTTTTTTTTTCTGAAACACATCTGGCTAAAGCTCTCAGTTGCAGCTTTCTGACTGTTTCTGGAATTTGTTACTGCTTACCTTATAGCTGAAATTATAGCTGTGAAGGAGGTAGAGGGATTTTAGATTTTTAATTTTTGTATTTCCTATGGAAAACAGCGAAGTGTGCTCACTGGAAGAAGTCTGAGATTAATACTGGTGTGAGACTCCTAAGTCAAGTCTCAAGAGTATCTCCTGCAAGCCATAGCAAGGGTGTGACAGCTTCCTGCTTCAGTTGCTGTTCTTCAGTTAGCAGACAGCAGTAATACTTTGGACCTCCAGGAGTGAAACTGGAAAGATTGTTTGAGGACGACTTTGTGTTCAGGAGGAGAAATAAATCAGTTTCTCATGGTTTCCTGGCTGAAGACTGCTAAGAACCTAAGGTTTAGTTTTTGAAGGTAGACAGTACAGATCTTTGTATAGCATTTGGAGACATGTTGTCTTGCTCTGAAACACCAGGGTGGCCTCAAGCATCACGTGCTATGATGCAGTGTGCATTAGTGTGAGAGGTGGTGAAACCTCTCAAGTGCCTTGCCCAAGGCTAAGCTTAATGAGCAGAGGTGACACTGAGACTCTATTTCCATCCAGCTATATGGGATGTGACAGCCATGCATGAGCTTCAGGAAGTATTCCTAAAGTGCCTAACTTAATTTCACTTGTTTGTGCTTGAACCATGGCAGCAGGTAACAGCACTGAGGCACGTTTCCTCACAAAGGCTCTTCTGGTTTAGCTGCCCTCAGTGTTAGTAGTGGAAACTTCCAAGCGATGCCTAGAAATACTACAGGCTTCCTGCCCTGAGCTGTTGTTGAGTTAGTGCTGTATGTGGTGGCCTGCAAAGCTCAGTGCTTGTTGGTTTACTGGTGCTGTTAATGTGAGGTTGTTGGGCTTTGCAAGTGCAGATTACAAAATACAACATGCCACTTCTTGAGATAGAGCTGGTGGCTTCCAGCAGGGGCTCTGAAGGACTTAACCCCACTTTGGGGGGAGGGATGCAGGGGGGCTTGTTCACACATTGCTTTGTGATGCATTTTTCTGCATTACTTGCTGTGCTCTAGCTGGCTCTGCCCTCGCCATTAGCTGAAGTAAGTGCTTGCCTGCTTTCAGGTCCTCTAGACCAAGGTGGAACAGTTCATATTGTGAAGAAAGAAAAGACAGCTGGAGTGATGAAGATGAGCTCTTTGCAGATGCAGGTATGAATTTTCTGGTCTAGCTACCTCTGTGGCTACGTGCATGGCTTGGCTGGCACTGCTAGTTAGAAGGAGGGGATGAGGGTCCAGAATGCCTAATTCCAGCACAGAGTACAGCCTCATTGTGGGTACATGCCCCTGCTCTTGATATACTGACTAGTGTAAAACAAAGCCAATAAGCCAGTCTTATTGGGAAGCTTTCCAGAAAGTAGACAGAGTTTAGAAGAGAGATACTGTAGAAAAGAGAGGGATAAATTGATGTAGTTTCATTGTGTGTCGTGGGGTTTTTGCACTGTGAGCAGCTGCAGAGCTCGGCGGTTAACAAGGCCGTCTCTTAGGAATGTCTGCCCTGGCACTGCTTTGATACCCAATGTAATGCCCTTGTTTTGCTTTTCAGCATTAACTGAGACGAGCAGCAACAACTCTACAGTCTATGGTTCCAAGAAACAGGTAATGAGTTATTGCAGCCTTTCTGTAAGGTTTGAAATCAGAACACGTCTGCAGAGAAAAGCAGTTATGAAATGGTTGGAAATGTTGGTGAGGACACTGGTGCAGTGCCCTGCAGCAGGCTGAGCTGCTGCCATGCACACAGGCTGGGCTGGAGAGTGGTTCTTGCTGAGACCTTGCAGCCCTGAGGCATGGTTAGCTGTCTGGGTCTTTGTGTTTGCAGAGCTGGTGTGAGTCTGTCCTTCAAAAACAGATTTGGTAGCTGGTTGTGGTTCTGTGCCTCCTGCATGTCAGGTGTTGGGTATTTGAGTAAAGCTGCTCTTCCCTGGTGCACAGCATACAGAAGGTTTGTGAGCACTGGAGAGGTTCAGCATCTTGTTCAGGTGAGGGACACATGTGAGGCAGCCGATTCCTTCCAGCAGCTCCAAATAACTGTCAGCCTTACGTGTGGGTGAATGGCTGCTGGCTCTTGTGCAGCTGTACACAGGGCAGTGCTTTTGTGCTTATGATTGCTTTCTGCAGTTCTGTTTTATTTGCCTCCCATGCAAAAATTCAGCTGACTTGACCTTGCAGTTTTAACTGCCTCTGTGCAGCTGTGTGGGAGGTAAGCACTGAGCGCTCTGTATCTCTGCTTGCTGCTGCATCAGTGGACAATTCCTCTTCTGTGATTAGTGTTGTATTTTGGAGGCAGAACCACTGGAGTTTGTGCTGGAGCTTGGCGTTATTCTTATCTTAGTTATGAGAGCTCTTCTACAATGAAGGGATTTCTTGGGTGTTTGTGTGCTTTTGACAGAACAGTTCTGCCTTTCCTCCATGTCCCTGGCACAGACGATAAAGGAAAGCTAATTAGGAAGGAGATGCTCTGCAGCGAGCTGTGCTGTGCAGCTCCCTTGTGAAGCTGTGCTCTGAACTCACAGAATGCTGCTTACCTGCTTTTTTTAGAAATGGACAGTGCAGGAAAGCGAGTGGATCAAAGACGGCGTGAGGAAGTATGGAGAAGGGAGGTGGAAAACCATCTCTGAGAAATACCCCTTCCAGAACCGCACCTCGGTGCAGATCAAGGATCGCTACCGGACCATGAAGAAGCTGGGCATCGCCTAAAGCTGCGGCCGTCCTTAGTGTCAGTGTTCTTGTTCTTTAAGGTTGACCATAGCAATACTAGCAGCAAAGCTGCGGGGCGCTTCCCTGATGTGTGTGGTGAGCCCCTCTGCACTGCTGTACCACAGGCTGCTGCAGGTGGTTCTTGTTGGATGTGGTTTCTAAGGAGCCTTGTGTCTCGAGCTGTAGCTGCAAGGTTTACGTCTTCTGCAGCTGGCAGAAGCTGCAGTTTGAATGCATGTGCTAGGAAATGGCCTGGATTGGGACTTCTTCCTACCTGACAACTGCAGCCAACCCGATGGGCTGCTGAGATGTCTTCTGTTCTGCCATTTGACAATATCTGCATAACTGTCAGTGGCTGTTTTTATGTTTAACTTGTCTGAACTATTTGAGTTTTGTTTCGTCTATTTGTACTCTCTCCTTTGGAGAGGCAACACAGTCCCACAGTTTCTGGGAAGAGCTTTAGCTAAGGCAGTTTTTCTCCCAGAAGTATTTTTCTAGCCTGCAGGTGGGACTTTCCCTCCCTTCTGAAACTTAAGCAACTGGTTTTTTGGTTTTTTTTGTTTGTTTGTTTTTTTAGTAAAAATTGGTCCCATGTTAAACAATCTAGTGCTTAATGATGTTGATTGTGACATTGTCTCCTTCCTGGTAACAGCATCCTGTATGCAATCTGCAAGCATGTGAACCCTGAGGGCACTGTTTCTTGCCTTCAAATGACTGAGTGGTGTCTTCTATAAAATAAAGTTCTTTGCTGATGAGTTTCAAGAGTTGCAATATATGAATTTGTGCCTCCTTGGTAGCAGTGAGGCAGTTTGGAGCGCTGGCTGTGTGGTGACCAGTTTGTTTGCTGCCTGAACCTGCTGTGATGTCAGCAGCAGGGGGGGGGAGTGGAACAGGGGTGCTCTGAAGGTGTGAAGTGCCTCCTCACAGGCACTGAAGTCTCATGGCTCTGAAGCCAAAGGGGCATTTCCTAAAAGCTGTGGGGTGAGAGTAACTGCTGTAGAAACCCTAGAAATAATGGGAAGCCCAGCCAGGCTTCTTGCTTTTTTCAGTTGTTCTGTAGCCTCTGGACTTACAGCTGGGGGCTTCGTGTGTGCTGTGAGCCAACGCACAACAGCTAGGCAGTGTGCAGATGTACCCTACACCAGCACTGTGGGGTTGGATCTGGAGGGTTGCTGGAATAGCATGTACTTCCACCCTCTGATCTGTTCACTTCTCCAGTTTCTTTTTTTGGAAGAGGTTTTGTTTCCTTTTTGATCGATGCTCTGGGCTCACTGAAGCAGCTGTAGAGTTAGTGCTGTGTAGCAGACTGTTTGGAAACACCTGCTTTCCCCTCTGCCCTTCAGCACTGATGGAACGAGCTTCCCCTGCCACCTGCTTGTGGCTGTGCATTTCCCTCTGCTGCTGTAACACTGCTTGTGCTGGAACAGCTGCAGGTAGATGGGAGCACTCTGAGCTTGCAGGGGCCAGTTCTGGACTTGGTGAGAATCATGCAGTGGGGCAGGAATCACCAGTGTAATTAATTGCCTTGCTCACAAGTACTGGCATCATTTGTCTGCAAGCAGAGTGAGTCTGCCTGGGACCTGGACCAGTGCTGTGCAGACAGGAGATGCTGCTGGTGATTGTGGCGCTTTGCAGCAGCCTTGGCCCTTAGCAGAGGGGTTTGGGTGGATGGGAAAATGAACAAAGCAGACCAAGTCTGGCCGTGCACCAATATCACCTTGAGTGGAGCCGGCTCCTGCCGAGCAACACCGTGCAGCAGCACAGTTAATGATTGATAACGCCGCTGCCTCGGCTCGGTGCTGCTGCCCAGCTGGAAGCAGCATGCTGCTGCTGGTGCTCCTGGTGCTGGGGCTGCCAGGTCCTGCTGGGTGCCCCAGGACTGAGCCCCTGAGCGGGACCAGCGATGAGCCCCTGTTCCGCGGTGCTGACCGCTATGACTTCGCCATCGTCGTCCATGCTGGCACCACTGAGTGCTTCTGGCAGTTTGCACGCCAGAGTGGCAATTTCTTCTTCAGCTTTGAGGTGAGTGCTGTGGGACCCATCCTGCTGTGAGCTGGTGCTTCTGCCAATGGGTTTGGCATTGGGGAAATGGCTGCCTAGCTGTCCTCGGGGTGGAGGGGAGGGGAACATCCTTGGTTGTACCAGGGAATGGCTGCAGTAACTTCAATGCCTGGTCCTAGGGCCTGAGCTTTTTTTTTTTTTTTTTTTTAAGGCAGTTTGCCTTCTCTTCATCAATCCCATCTACTATTTTCAAACACGCTGAAAACGAGGAGTACGTTCAGAGTGAGGAGGTGCAGGGTGCTCTGGCTGTGGTGGCCCTGTACCCAGATGGAGCTCGCTGGGGCAAGCTCAGCGCTGCAGGAGTGCTGGGCTGGCTGGAGGCCATTGCAGGACCTCAGCTTCCCTCTGAGCTGTGGCTGGGAGGAGTGCTGAAGGTCTCAGGTGCAGCCGTATCAGTTTGTCCCTGTGCTCAGTCCCCTTCCCACGAGGGGGATCGGAGCCCTTTAATCTCCTGTTTACACTGCTGGCTGAAGGAGCGTGGGGACACAGCTGCCACCACCTCGTGCTTGGCAGAGCAGCCACACAGTGCTCGTGTGGGAACAGCCCCAGCACGTAGCACAAGCCCAGCCGACCCCAAACATGCTCTTGCTCAGCCCCAAAGCCAGCAGACAGCTGGGAGCTGCTCTGCAGGGCTGAGAACATGCTTGGAGCCTTCTCTCCCCTCCGGGGACCCCTGATAGTGACCCAACCCAGTCCCCTACCTCTCTGTGAGTGCCAGCAGCACCATGGGCAAGGACAAAGAACTGAGAGGTGACCCTTCTCAAGGCTGTGGGTTTTGTTTTCCTTTCATGTGTAGCTGGCAGTGGCAGGAGGCATTTAATGCTTGGGTGCAGCCAGCACCCTCAGCTCCTGCTCACGACCAAGCAGAAGGAAACTTACTGGACTCCTGTTTTCCCAAGAATGGGGCACAAAAGACCCTTAGGTGATGCCTCCCTAAGGACAGGGGTCCCCTTTGGGCTGCGTCCCAGCCCTGCTGATGGGTGTCTCCCACCTCCAGGTGCAGCGGGCGACAGGCATTGCCAACAGCAGGCACATCCTGGCCACAGCAAAAGACCCCAATGGCTTCCAGCTCGGCACCTCCCAGGATGTGCGAGGACAGATCAACTTCCTGACCAAGGAGACAGGTCCCTGCTGCCCGTGTCCCCCGGGGCTGGGTGGGCTCTGTGGGTCCCCATAGTGCTGATGTGTGCTGTGTGGTCATGGTGCCCCCCCTGCCAGCACACATCAGCATTAAGTGCTCGAAGCAGCGCTGCCAGCTTAGGGAACAAAAACCTCTCCTTCCCTCTGCAGGTTTCTATCAGCTCTGCCTGGACAATGGGCAAAATCACTTTGGCTTTATGCAGGTGTATCTCAACTTTGGTGTCTACTATGATGGCTTCAACATGGAAAAGGAGCAGACAGAAGAGAGGAAACAGCTGAATGACACGTTGGATGCCATTGAGGTAAGTGCTGCTTCTGCCACAGAGTGCTTCAAAGCAGCGCACGGATCAGGCTGATGCAAAAACAGGCCAGAACTGAATGCAACAGTGTGGCCTCCAGCAGCACCCCGTGGCAGGGATGGGCAAGTTCCTCCTCAGGGACCAAGGAAGGACATTTGTCCCTGCTTGATGTGCTGCTGCCTAACTTGGTGTTGAACCAAGCTGGTGGCTCAGTGGATGTTCCTGCAAGGGTTCTGCCAGTGCTCTGCCAGCTCCTCAGCAGCACAACCTGCCTGAGCACGGCTGGTAAGCACCATTCTCTTCTCCTCCTGGGCTATGTCTGCAGGACAGCATTCAGAAACTGTACATCCGCATCTTCCACATGTGGAGGTTCTACAACTTTGCCCGGATGAGGAAAAGGGCCGACTCCTTCCTCCTCGAGTCCAACTACCACTACGTCAACTGGTGGTCGATGGCTCAGAGCTGCCTAATTGTCCTCTCTGGGGTCCTGCAGCTTTACTTCTTGAAGCGTCTCTTCAACGTGCAGAGCTCTGGGAAGCCGAGGTGCTGACAGCTCCCTGGCACAGCACAGCCCACAGGAGCAGAGCCCCACCTGCACTCACCCGCAGCAGTGACTGCTTGCCTGCTCCTCTGCATCAGCCCCCCTGCTTTCCACAGAGCAAGAGGAGAAAGCCCAGGTCCTGCCCTGGGGAGGGGGTGGTGTAGCTGGAAGCAGAGCTCACTCACCTCCCACCTTTAACTGAAATTACCTTTAGGAAAAAAATACAAAAACCTCGATTTTGTGTTAGTGTGTCTTTGCCAGCTTTTAGTGTTTCAATCTGCCCCTTTTGCCTAGAACCCCGTTTTATGAAATACCCATGGATGGTACCCATCCTTCTTGTGCCTGCCTGGATGGGATGACAGCAGCCCTGCCTCCCTCCTGTGTGTCGCTGCCTGCTGCACCAATCCCAGGCTCCCAAATGTGCAGCCAGGCCTCAGGACTGACGCCCTAAGGTGCTGCATGAGACAAGAGGCAGTTAAAAAGAAGGAACAGGCTTTATACAATCACAACAGCACAGCTGGTGCCTTCTTGTGCTCCCAGCAGCAGAAACTGCTCCCAGCTCCTGCTCTCTCCTTGGGGTGTGCTCCCTGCAGCTCCGTGTGCTGCTACCACCCATGATGCAGGACAAGTCCATTCTGCCCAGGCGTGCTTGTGGCTCCTGAGCAGTTGTGCTGCCCTAAGTCAGTGTGTCCTCACTGCGCACGTACTCCCCGACATCCGCCTGGTGAAACACCACAATGGCCATGGGATCCACCTTCCGGCAGTCCTGGGTGGATTTTGCAGCTACTCCAAACCCCTGGGGAAGAAGGGAGAGGGAGTGTTTTGCAGCCCAGTACCCATTCCCTTAGAGTGGGAAGTGTTGGGGAGGCCACTCACCAGTGGGATGTCAGCCATGGAGTACACCACCACGCCCTGGTACTGTGCTGTGTTCTCCGTGATGCGGCCCAGGCCAGACTTCAGCACATGGTTGCCATAGAGGAAGGACTGCTCTGAGTCTGGCTTCACCCACACTTTATACTAAGAGAGAGGCAGGAGTCGGTGAGCTGCCAAAAGGGTGGCACTGGGAACAAGCAGGTGCTGGGGGGGTGTGAAACATCCCACCTTGGCATAAGGTGCAAGGAAGTCCAGGGCAGTGACGCTGAGCCGGAACTTCTGTGTCTTGGTGAACTTGCCAAAGCAGGTGCCCAGTGCCACCAGGCTGTCCCGTGGGATGCTTGCAGCACCCTTCAGCAGCTTCTCGCTGTGGGGAGATGGATGGAGAGGCTGCAGGCTGGGAGGGCTGCATGGGCTCATCCTGGGTCCCACAGCCCCAACCCCAGCTCACCTCACATAGTAGACACGGTCACGGTGCAGACGGAAGCAGTAGGTGCCATCGGGCCGGTCCACCAGCAACTGGATGTTCTCGCCAATGCTGCAGGGAAAAGCTACATCAGATCCGTCCCTGGTGTTCTCCCAGAGTCCTCTGGTCCTCCTGGCTCCTTCTGACCCATCTCTCTCTTTCACACCTCATGAGGTTCATCAAGGCCAAATGCAAGGTGTTGCATTTGGGTTGGGGCCATCCCAGATACATACATAGAGTGAGGGAAAAAATGTGTAGAAAGGAGCCCTGCATAGAAGGACCTGGGGGTCCTGGTAGACGGAGTGCTTAACACAAGCCAGCGGCGTGCACTTGCAGCCCGGAGAACCAATAGTATCTTGGGCTGCATCAACAGCCCAAGACGGGTGGTGCCCATCCCTGGAGGTGTCCGGGGCCGTGGGTGGGCTCCCGGCAGCCCGAGCTGGGGGGCACCCGGCGGCAGGGGAGGAGCAGGAGGTCCGTTCCAACCCGATCACGCTGCGATTCCCTCGGCTCCCCTTGTGCCACCACTGCCTGCACCCGTCCTTCGCCCCATCCATTCCCCGTCAGCCCCGCCGTTCCCACACACGGCACGTGCCGCGCCTCCGCTGCAGCCCCGGGCCCTCGTTCCCCCGTCGGTCCCACCGCTCCCCCGCGCCGCTCCCGCACTCCCAGCCGCTCACTATCTCCCGAGCTTCTCGAACACCGCGCGCGTCTCCGCCTCCGTCAGCGGCCGCATCACCGCACTCCCCACACGCGCTGCAGCGCCGGAAGCGGAAGTGGCGGTATTGCGCCGGAAGTGCCTGCGCCGGGGCCGGAAGTGGCGTGGGCCCGTGCCGGCGGAGCGACTGCGATGGCGGCGGAGGAGGAGCGGCTGCTGGCCTGGCTGCGCGGACCGGCTGTGGCGGGACCCGGCGGCGCTGAGCTCGCCGCTTATGTGGCCGAGCTGGCGGCGCTGGGGCTGGCGGAGCTGGGCCGGGAGCCGGCGCGGCTGGCGGCAGAGCGGGAGCGGGTCGGGGCTGAGACGCGGCGCTTGGCCTTCGAGCACTACCGCGCCTTCATTCGCTCCGCGGAGTGCACCGGCCGCGCCGGCCGCGGCTTCGGTGGCATCGAGAGCCGTCTGAGCAGCCTGCTGGAGCGCCTGCCCGCCCTGCAGGATGCCTGCCGGTGAGCGGGATGGGCCAGGCTCGGGGGCGCTGGGGACAGAGCTGACAAGACGCGGGAAGGACTGGAGGTGGGTGAGGCTGGGGGCAGTTGGTGCCCCGGGGCCAGTACCAGCCCGGTGTTGGGATCGGGGTCAGTAGCAGAGCAGGAGAGTAGCTAAGGGGGTCCCAGGGTGTCCCCCTCCACCCTCCCGGTACTGATCCTTCCTGGCCCCGCAGGAACTTCATGCGTGATGCTGAGGCCATTGCCTGCAGCCGGCGGATGAACAGCCTGACACTGAACCGGCACACAGAGATCCTAGAGATCCTGGAGATCCCGCAGCTCATGGACACCTGTGTGCGTAACCGCTACTATGAGGAGGCGCTGGAGCTGGCGGCCTACGTGCGCCGGCTGGAGAAGAAGTACAGCAGCATCCCCGTCATCCAGGTAGGGCCGTGCTGCCCCTGCTGCATGGCTGTCCCACAGTCAAAGGTCAAAAAGGTCATTAAGGTCAGAAAAGATCTGTGATCACCGAGTCTAACTGTCAACCCACCTTGCCATGCTTGCTTAGACCCAAATGCCACAGCTCCATGTTTCTTGATGCATGGGGTGTTGTGACCCCGAAGTGTGGGACCTTGTTCTTGTTGAGGCTCGTGCAGTTGGCCTCAGCCCACTGAGGCTCTCTCCTCACAGGGAATTGTGGCCGAGGTGCGGCAGTCCACTCAGCTGATGCTGAACGAGCTCATCCAGCAGCTCCGCACCAACATCCCTCTGCCCACTTGCCTGCGGGTCATTGGCTATCTGCGGCGCATGGATGTCTTCACAGAGGCCGAGTTGCGCATCAAGTTCCTGCAGGCACGGGACGCCTGGCTGCGCTCCATCCAGGCCTCCATCCCCGAGGATGACCCCTACTTCCACCTCACCAAGACAGTCGAGGCCTGCCGTGTCCACCTCTTTGACATCATCACGCAGTACCGTGCCATCTTCTCTGATGAGGAGCCGCTCCTGGCCCCCGAGCAGCCCTCCCTCAACGAGGGAGCCATCTTCCATGGTTGGGTGCTGCAGAAGGTCTCTGAGTTCCTGCAGGTGCTGGAGCGTGACCTGCAGCGAGGGGTGGGTGGCCGCTTGGACTCGCTGCTGGGGCAGTGCATGTACTTTGGCCTCTCCTTTAGTAGGGTGGGGGCTGATTTCCGTGGGCAGCTGGCCCCCATCTTCCAGCGTGTCGCTGCCACCACCTTCAGCAAGGCAGTGGATGAGGCGGTGGAGAAGTTCCAGGAGGAGATGAATTCCTACACGCTCATCTCTGCCCCAGCTGTGCTGGGCAGTGCCGCAGCGGTGCCGGTGCCCTCAGCCCAGCCAGGGACACTGCAGCCACCCATGGTGCTGCTGGACTTTCCGCCCCTTGCCTGCTTCCTCAATGGCCTCCTTGTTGCCTTCAACGACCTGCGGCTCTGCTGCCCCATCGCCCTGGCACAGGATGTGGCTGCCTGCCTGAAGGATGCCCTTGGCAAGGTGAGGTGCTGGGGCTGTACTTGGGCTCGTACTTTGTAGGAGAAACAGAACAGCTGCAAATAAGGATGGTTTCTGTGCCCAAAATGCTGCCTTGGGCCTGGTGCTATGAAAGAGAAGTGGCTGTTTCATGTGTCAGGTTCTCCAGGCCCTTGGGTTTGCCTGGGGATTGTGATCTGGAAATTAATGACTCTGTTCTCTGCACCAGGTGACCAAAATAATCCTGGCCTTCCACCGGGCAGAGGAGGCGGCATTCAGCGGGCGCGAGCAGGAGCTCTTTGTCCACTTCTGCACAGCATTCCTGGAGGATCTGCTTCCTTACCTGAATCGCTGCCTCCAGGTTCTCTTCCCCCCGGCTCAGATCGCACAGGTGCTGGGTAAGACTCCACTGTGGGGAGGAATAAAGTGGGAGATGCTGTTGTCACCATGGGATGCAGTGTTAGCTGCACTGCGCTGGAGGGCTGTGCCCACCCCTCTCTGTGTCCCATAGGTATCCCTCCGGCCCATCTGCAGCGCTACAGCCACCTGGGCTGCATTGATGTGAACGCTTTCAGGGAGCTTCTGGCCCCTGTCCTGCCAACACAGGAGGCAGAGCTGCCGCCCAGTGAGGAAGAGCCATCCCCACAAAGCCCTGTGCTCGCACTGCATCGCACGCAGACAGAGGAGACTGGGCCAGGGGGGCCCGCGCTAGAGCAGGGCCGAGACGAGCCCGCGGACCCTGCACTGGGGGCTGTGCTGCTGGACGAGAGCGGGCACGGAGGGGAGCATCCTGCATCGTGACCCGGGGGCTGCAGAGACGGGAGAGCCGTGCTGCGGGAGGGGAACACTTGTTCTGCGGGCACAGGGGTCCCCACGCGTCCCCTCGGTGGGGCCGGGCCGTGCCTGCAGCAATAAAGCCGTGCCACCCGCGTGGCCGCCCGGTCCCCGCCGTGTCTTTCCCGTTTGAAGCCGCGGAGCCGTCGCTCCTCCCCGCCGGCAGGGGGCGCCAGTCCTCGCCCTCCCCGCCCCCAGCGCCCCTCCAGCCGTCGCGTCACATCCGCCGGGATGGCGGCGGTGCTGTGCCGGCGGCTACTGCCGGGCCGGGCTCCGGGTCAGGCTCGCGGCTGCGGGGCCGAGGCGGGGTCGGGCTGGGCCGCGGTGCGGGAGCGCTCTTACTGGCAGGCGCTGCGGCGGCGGCTGCGGGGCCCTTCCAAGCCGCCGTTCTCCGCGCCGTGCCAGGTGGGCGCTCCGGTGCTGCGCGCCGCCGCCGCCGCCGTGGCCCCTGAGCGGTTGGGCGGCCCCGAGCTGCGGGCGCTGGCGGCGGCGCTGGCGGCCGGGCTGCGGGGCGAGCCGTGCCTGGGGCTGAGCGCCCCGCAGCTCGGTGTGCCCCTGCGCGTCTTCGCCGCCGCGCTGCCCCCAGAGCGCTGCCGGCAGTACCCCGCCGCGCTCCGCCGCGCGCACCGCATCGAGCCCTTCCCGCTGCGGCTTCTCGTGAACCCCGCGCTGCGCGTTCTGGACGCCCGCCTCGTCACCGCGCCCGAGGGCTGCGCCAGCATCCGTGGCTTCTCCGCCTGCGTCCCGCGGCACTGGGCCGTGCACGTCTCCGGTACGGCCTCGTCCCCACCCCGTCCCCCCCGCCTCTCTTCCCGTCCCCTCTCCCCGCTGCCCGGCTCCGGCCCTACTGGCGCCGTCCTGCCGCAGGCGTAGATGAGAACGGGGACCCGGTGAGCTGGGAGGCGACGGGCTGGGCTGCCCGCATCGTGCAGCACGAGATGGACCATCTGGACGGCGTGCTCTTCATCGACCGCATGGACAGCCGCACCTTCGCCAACACCGCCTGGAGCCAGCTCCTCGACTGAGACGGAGCCCCGGCAGCGGTACGGCACTCTGGGATGTGGCCGCGGCCCCCACCTGCCCCTTGGAGCCGGCCTCGGAGCTTCCTTTCTCGGTCTAGGAAAGGGGGCTGTGCAGGAGGGGACCACCCCTCTCTCCTGCAGCACCTGGTCCACGGGAGGGGAAGGGGCTGGGAGCTGTGGGCTGTGGACCTGGAGAGAAACGAGGAGGGACTCGGCTCCAAGCGGCCATTATAGAACGTGCTCCTTGTGTGGCAGGCAAAGGACCGTGGGAATGGAGAGGAGACAGTATCCCCAGCGCTGGGTCCCTTTATGGCCCCAAAGCCTTGCTGTGGGGCAGCTGTGCCTCAGGGAGGGGCTAGGCACTGGCGGAAGCTTTCAGATTGTTTTTATTTTCATATAAACAAGACAGAACCCAAAGCAGCATTAATTTAAAAAATAAAAAAGGAGCAGGAAGAAGAGTGAGGAGCAGAGGAGCGCTGGGACGCCTCTGTTAATGTCGGCCCTGCCAGGGCAGCGTGCCCCCTTCCCTGCCTGGTGCTGAAGTGAGATGGGTTGGGTTGTGAGCTGCAGATGAACCTGTTTGGCACAGCCGCCTGCCTGGGAGCAGCGGGGCCCCATCATCCACCACGGCCCTTAACCTTCCTGCCCAAAGTCCTCTGTGAACTTCTTCACCTTCAGGAGGTCCTCAGTGTTCACGGTGGGACGGGTGGTGGCCAGAGAACGCAGCATGTCCGACTGCAATACAGAGCAGGGGGCAGCTCAGACGTGGAGGCTGGGGGGATGGTAACATGCTGGGGACACGCTCACGCTTAGGGTGCTGCTGCCGGGCAGGCACTGCCACCGCAGGGGCTCGGGAGGGCACCAGTACCCAGCTGCCATGTGCCTGCACCAGGCCCTGAGGCAAATGGCAGCTCTGGAGGAGGCAGGGGAACCGGTAGGGCTGGGGCGGCAGCATTGCTGTGCTGGGGATGGGCCCAAACGCAGCAGGATCTGACTGCTGTTGGCAGCCCCACTCACCATGCAGACGATGGGCTCCATCAGCTTGTCACTGGGCACCTCCATCCAGGTCATCTCGGTGGCACCCGGGTCCCCAGGCGAGCACGGCATCAGGAGGTCATCCACCAGAAGGTTGGGGTTGGTGCGGGAGGGACCGCGGACCTGGGAGAGGCGGGCAGTGCTGCAACACAGCCTCAGTGCCCCCCCTGCAGCAGCACAGCTCCTGGCACCCAACTCACCTTCTTGAAGTGCGTAGCTGACTGCACCTTGCGGACAGGCTGCATCAGGGCATCCCGCACAATGATGCTGATATCAGCCCCAGAGTAGCCATCTGTCTTCCGTGCCAGCTCGTGGATGTCAGCATCCGTCAGAGAGTGTGGGGTGTTGCCCAGGTGCAGTTTGAACATCTGGGCCCGGGCTGCCTCCTCAGGTAATGGGATGTAAATGCGCTTCTCGAACCTGAGTGTGGCACAGGCAGGCGTGGGTGAGCGGCTGTGTTCCCCACCAGGCTGGCCCTGCGCTGCCAAATCTCGCAGCCATATCCTGTGCAGTGCAGCACTGTGCTTTTGGGCACTGCAGAGGGATCGTGTCCTGCTTACCTCCTCCTGATGGCCGAGTCCAGCACCCAGGGGATGTTGGTGGCACCGAGCACCAGGATCCCATCACTACTGTTGCCCACACCTGCCCAGAGAAACAGCAGGGGGGACGCTTGAGAGCCATACCTAAAGGAGATCGCTGCTTCATCCAAACCCACCCCATCCCACATTCCCTACCCAACAGGTGTGCATGCCCCGGGCAGCTCATCGTGCCAGGGGAAGCCCCACTCACCCTGCATCTGCACCAGGAACTCTGTCTTGATGCGCCGGGCTGCCTCACTCTCATTCTCATTGCGGGAGCCACACAGTGAGTCCACCTCATCGATGAAGATGATGGAGGGCTTGTGCTGCCTTGCCAGCTCAAAGAGGTTCTTCACTAGCCTGGACACAAAGGCAAGGGGTGGGTGCCCCCACCCAGAGCCCCAGGAGAGGACCCACAGCCCCACCGCCCACCCACTGCAGAGGGGCACGAGCCCTACACACCACTGCTTCCTCCTGCCCCTGCCTACTCCAGAGCCCTGTGATGGTACCAAGGAGGGGAACGCAGTGCACAGAGAGCAGCCACCCCCTGGACAACCATCCCTTGGCCAGCCCGCAGCCCTGGTGACACCTTACTTCTCACTCTCTCCCAGCCACTTTGACATCAGGTCCGAGGACGACACGGAGAAGAAAGTGGAGTTGTTGGCCTCAGTGGCCACAGCCTTGGCCAAGTAGGACTTCCCAGTGCCAGGAGGCCCGAAGAGCAGGATCCCTCGCCAGGGTGTGCGCTTCCCTGCGACAGAGCCCAGCGTCAAAGCTTCTCCTGCACTGCACAAACTGCATCTGCACAGGGACCTCGGGCCAGCAGGGACAGACATCCCTTCTGCTCTGGGTCACCTCCCTGCATGCACACCTCTACCACAGCTGCCACCCTTCGTCATGGGGCATGAGGCCCCTCTCCATAGCCAAGCAGCAGTTTTGGAGCTGCCAGTGAGCCTCACCAGTAAACAAATGTGGGAACTTGATGGGCAGGATCACGGCTTCCTTCAGGGCCTCCTTGGCTCCCTCCAGGCCAGCCACGTCGCTCCACCGCACATTGGGCTTCTCCATCATGATGGCACCTGCGGGGCAGAGACGAGAGCTGGAGCCCACGGCTCCACCCCGCCAAACCCCCACCCTGCCAGGCTGACCAGACCCCTTGGCACATAGCACAGCTCCGAATTCCAGCAGTGCCCCCACGGCACCGCTCTCTGTGAGACCTCCCTCCAGCCGAGCACCGCCATGCCCACCACAGCCCCTCACCCATCAGCTGCTCCTGCAGTTTCTTCTTCTCCGGGTTCTCGCCCTCGCTGTCGCTGTCGCTCCTGGAGAGGTAGGACAGGGATGCGGTCACACGGCCGTACCGTGCCCCGCCGGTAGGGGAGCAGCCCCCACGCACCCCTTGGCGTCATTCTGTGCCTCCTTGACGGGCTTCTTGCCCTGCTTCTCCTTGCTGCGCAGGTACTCCTTCAGCTTCTCGGCCCGGTCCAGGTACTGCACGCACTTGGCACGGATGCTCTCCTTGGCTTTGTCGCTGTGCGCCTCATCTGCACGGAGAGCCCCGGCCGTCACCGCGGGCCCCGCAGCCCCGCACCCCCCGCGCCCCCCCGCTCACATTTGATGGCGTGCAGGAAGTACTCCACGGCGTGCTGGTACAGCCGCAGCGCCTCCTCGTAGTTCTTGGCCTTGTCCTCCTCGGTGGCTTTGGTCACCAGATCGATGGCTTTCTGCGGGGGAAGCGGCGACCTGAGCTCTGAGCCCGGCGCCGGGCCCGGCCCCACCGCGCGCCACCCGCCCCGCCCCGCAGCCAGGCCCGCTCGGAAGGACGGGCCGGGTCTTCCCGGAGCGGCCCGGCGGGGCGGTCGGAGGCCGGACCCGGGCGGCGGGCACGGCGCGGTACCTGCAGGGTGGTCGTTGTCATCTCATCGCCCGGTGGCGGCCGCAGCTGGCGCGACCCGGCCCGGCGGCGGCGGCGGCGGCGGCGGCGGGGGCCCGCGGGACCGCCCCAACTGCGGCTGTGCGCGGCGGCTACAGCGCCCCCCGGCGGCGCCCGCCGGTACGGCAGAGCAGGGGCGGGGCCTCCGCTGGACGCGTCCCGCCCGCACGTCTCGCGCATGCGTACACTACGCATGGCCGGCGCTTAGCGTGGTGTGTCGGTGTGAGCGGCTGCCGAGAGGCACGGTTGTCTGCTCTTGGTGAAGTCAGCAAAGGCGCTCGCTGGACTTCAGGAGGCAGAACTTGGGCTGTTTGGGACATCTGATGGGAGAATCCCTTGGGAGTCAGTGCCGGAGGGCAAAGTGCTTACATAGCATACATACACAGTGGTCCACAGCACGGACAGACACACGGTGCACATAGCCAATATGCTCTGTGTATACACCTCATAAATAGCGTGTGCATACATATCTGTGTGTGATATATATGTTCACTGTGTGTGTGGTATGGAGAGCATGTATGTGTGTCCATACTGTACTGCATGCACAGTATGTGTGTATACATGTACATGTGTATACAAACATGTACACACTACGCCTCAGGCAGTGCAGCCCCTCATACACACACACAGCACAGCATCTACACAGCACACACGCGTGTATATCTGCACACCCCTATACAGAAACACACACAGCACACACACACTGCACGTGCAGGGGCACACAGCACACCCCCATCCACACAGCACATCCACGCATGTGCAGCACCATGCACAGCTGCTCTTGCTGCGGTGCCGATCACAAACCCCATACAAGGCCAGTTTGTATAAATAGCGATTTACAAAGAGTACAAAAATAGAATGGGCTGAGCGGGGTGGGGGGCTCTGCACCCCTCAGGCCCCCTGGCACAGCTCATGGGAAGCAGAAACGTTTGCAGAGGAGTTGGGCTGGGGCACAGCGGGGACCCCCAGCACCGAGCACCCGTCCCCGCACCAGGGGCGGAGGTAAAGTACAAAAAGCAAAAGTGCATTGATCTATGTGTCCCTCCCCAAAACCACGGGGCCTACAGGGGTCCCACTGTGCTCCCAGCCCAGGCAGGGAACAGCGTTTGTTTGCAGACTCTGAGAGTTTGAGGAGCACCTGCCTTGTGATCACAGCATGGCAGGGACTGAGCCCCCTGCCCATACCAGCATCACAGGGCCAGGTCCCAGCGTCCTCCCGAGTGCCCACATTTTTAAGACGAGACCCCCCCCCAGGGGATACAAACAGTGCCCAACACAGTCCCACTTGGGGGAGGAACACAAGGTGAAGCTCCCCGGGGGGGGGAGGGGGGGAGTGGCCCCGCTGCAAGGCACAGGTGGTGAGATCAGAGATGGCTTTTGGGGGCAGGGGATAACACTGAGCTCCCCGAGTCGCAGAAGGGGAGCCCCCTCCCCAAGGCACCGGTGTGGCAGGCAGCGGTGGGGCTCCATGTTTCCCAGGCTGCTTTGCATTGTGGAGGCAGCTGGGGTGGTCAGGGTGGTCACCTACACCAGCAGCCCCATGCGGGTGACTTTGGCCGAGAGGAAGGTGTGCAGCACGAAGACGATGGGCTTGGGGCAGGAGTGCAGGTCCAGCGCCTGTGGAAGGAAAGGGAGAATGGTGTCAAAGCACAAGGGCAACCCAAGTCCTAGGGTATGTCTCGGATGGGGTTAGGGGTCCCTCCTCACCAGTTCCCCCTCTGGGCCTCCAAAGTCTAGATAGAGGGTCCTGATGCCATCATCCGCCGACATCTTCAGCTTTTCATAGGGGTAGCGGTAGAGGACGCTGCCGCCTGCCTCATCGCGGCAGATGGTGAAGCCGCCCTCGTAGTGAATGCAGAGCTTCACCTCCTGGCCACCCAGAGTGCAGCCTGCAGGCACAGGCATGGCTTTGGTTCTGTCCCCACCACCTGGCTACAGTCACCCCCAGACACCCCAAAACTGCCCCAAGCAGTGGAGAAGGTAGAGAAGCCATCATGCAGCACAGCACCATCACTGCCAGGGACTCCCTGTCCCATGGGCAGAGCCCTGGTGCCGGTGTGCACTCACCCACGGACACCTCTTTGATGAGCTCAGCAGCAGCATGGCAGCCCTGCACCAGCACTCGCGTCCAGCAGGACAGGTCACGGTGCGTCTCCACACGGAAGACGTGCATCTCAATGCCCTGCCGTGAGCCCGTTCGCGTGGCAAAGGTCAGCTCAGAGCCCAGCGAGGGCGAGCGGCGGCCCGAGCCTGAATGCACCAACCTGGGGACGGGAGGAGATGTCGGTGCTGCATCCCACGTGTGGGGATGGCTCCTACGGGAGTCCCCATCCCAGTACCTGGTGGCCACCAACGGGTAGCTGTGGCATGGCGAGGCCCACGCGTCGCGTGTCCAAGGCATGGCGTCGTACAGCAGCAGATCCTTCTCCGTCACCGCCATCAGGACTGGCCGCCACTGCTGCCGCCCGCCGTCCAGCCGTGCCTGATGGACAAGCAGCACAACGATAGGGCAGCTTCAGCTGTCATGGTGCCACCCAGCGATGGCATCCCCCGGTACACAGACCCGTACCTGCTCTGCCAGCCACGCGACATGCTTCACCTCCCGGCCCCCAGCGCTGCCACCCAGCGCAGCATTGAGCTCCGCCAGCACCTGCGGCAGCAGCGCCGTGATGTTGGCATGCAGCGCTGTGAACCAGGAATGTGCGGTGGCAGTGTCCTTGCAGCGCAGGATCAGCGTGTTCCTGCTGTCCGGCGAGTGCAGCTCGATCAGCCTGCGGGGATACGGGGCTCTGGGACGGGGCCAGCCTGGCTGCAGGCGTGCTGCCAGCAGTGGGGCCGGAACGGGGGCACGGCGCAGCCTGGGCCATGTGCCAAGCGCTTCCCAAACACCGCCGCCTGCTCACCGGTTCTCCAGGTCGGGCATGCTGAGGTTCCGTGCAGCGAAGCACATCTTCAGAGGGATGACCTTGTGGTCACGGGCGCCGTGGTGCTGGGGTGATCCTGAGTCCTCGCTGCCGCTCAGGCTGGGCGACTGCGGGGCAGCTCCCTCCCAGGGCAGGTCTGACACCAGCGATGGCTTCTTCATGTAGGGCGTCACCTCTCGCATGAACTTCACTGCGGGCAGACGGCGTCGGTGTTAGGGATGGGGGGAAGAGGGGCCACGGCCAGCGCTGATCCCTGCCAGGAGCCGGAGGCACGCAGGGCCCATCCCAGCACCATCAGGACATGGGGATCGGAAGGGCCCGGCAGCGCGGGACAATGGCGCGGGCAGGAGGTCAGCCTGCAGCCCATCCTGCCCACCCTGCCGCACGCTGTGGCCAAGTTTCCAGCGCCGTGGGTGATAACAGCCCCAGGATGGTGCCTGCAGCCAGGATGTCCCGGCCCTGCACTCCTCTCGGGGCTGAGAGGAAGGAAGGACTCATCGCTCCAGGTCCCCACAGACCATCCCTCCCCAAACACATGGTAGGCGCCAGGATGTCAAAATCCTTCACTTGCTGAGTGCTGTCCCATCACCACGCCGCTCCCCGCTGTCACGCTTGGGGACAGCCAACACAATGTGTTCCAGATGCTGGGAGCGCTGCGTGCCAGAGCACTGAGCAGGGGCTGACGCCGAGCAGCGGGCGTGCGGCCGAGCCAGAGAGCCGAGCCCCCTCAGCAGGGAGGGAACAGCCTCAGGGCAGCGGGGAATTAAAGTGAAAAAAAAACAGCGAGTAAGCTGTAATCTGCTGTGAAACACAGCTGTGAAGCACGGCTCCCCACAGGCAGGGAGACGGTGTGACGCCGTGGTGGGAGCTCTGAGGGGCGCCTGGCGGTGCTGCTGAGCCGACACAGCTGGAGGGGATGCACTGCCCTTGCTGCGGACACCAGGGGATAATATTAGCTCCCGCCGCGCTTATCCCCAGATTACGCCTTCCCTGCGCACCTCTAATCCCCATGGGCAGGCCAGTGCCTGGAGTGGATGGTTGTGAGCTGGAGCTCGGCCAGCGGCAGCCTCCAAGGTGGCTCACAGCTGGCAGCCAGATGTTGGCAGCCTGTGTCTGAGGCTGGAGCACTGGGGCCACTGCTCCCTGCCCGGGAGTGAACCCTTTGTGCTCTGAGCCATGGTGCTGGCACTGAGCAGCAGAGACAACGACATCCCTGAAACCCCCTGGGCAGGCTTTTGAGCCCAAAGTGGGAGCTGCTGGACACACCGTGAGCTTCATGCCCACCTCCCTTGATTTGCACAGGGCACCCTGCAGTGCCTTGCACCCTGTGCAGTACCAGCTAGGCAACCACAGTGTTCCAAATGCTTGGGTGGGTGGCATTGGTTCAACCAACCTGGTGGTTTGCCTGCCTTTGCCGTAGCTGGGACAGTACACGCAGACACTGCCAGGCTGTACAACCCTGGCCAGCACCCTGGCACTGGGGCACGGGCAGCAGCAGCAGAGCCAGAACACAGCTGGGAGATGCTGCTGGGGGCAGTGCCTGAGGCACAACACGAGCATGGAGCTGCTGTACCAACACGGCGCAGCGCAGAGGGCAATGGCACGTGCAGACTCACCAGCTGAGCTCCATCCCAGCACGGCTGTCATGGCATAGCACGCCTACACGCTCACCGCAAAGGAAACCCAGCACTGCTGCACCCTCACAGCTCGCTGCAGGAAGGCGGCTGCACCCTGGGCTCACCTACGGGGCCTCTCACTACAGCCCAGACCCCCCCTCGCAGCCCAGCATTACCAGCCCCCTCCCAGCAGCACCAGAGTGGTTTCCCCACCCATGCATGTGGGTTTCCTCCCACAGCCCTCCTTCCTCTTTCCGACCTTGCTGCCCGGTGCAGAGCTGCCTGTGGGCCCAGAGCTCAGCTCCCAGCTCCCACCCAGGACGGGGTAGGGGTTCCGCTGCGCTGATGGCACCAGAAGGATGGCACCCAGCACAGGTGCCTGCAAGTGAAGTGAAACCCAGGGCTGGAGAGTGGGCACGGGGCACAGTGCCAGTGCTCCTGGCAGCCCCCAGCTGGCTAGGGTACCCCATCCACGTCCATGGAGCAATGCTGTCTGCCCCTGCATGCTCCTTCCAGCCCCAAACATGGCTCGTTCCCTCCTTGTCCCCCGGTGCCCTGGAGCCAGCGTGGGCAGCTGAGCCACACAAATCCGCACACGCCCTCGCACCGACACAGGGCCCCGGTGGACATCAGGACGGGACGTGGGGGTGGGACCGCGCTGACACTGGTGGTACCGGTGGCACCAGCAGCGCTGCACCGGCAGGTCCTGCCCCAGCTTGCCGAGAACAGGTCGGGCAGGAGCCTGTGCTCCGCGGGCACCGAGCCTCGTGCACAGCATCAGGGCGGGCACCGTGGGGAGCACCGCAGGTCCCGGGGCGCCGCTGCCATCCCCGGCGGCACGGGGCACGGCAGTAGGAGTGAGCTCCGACGTGGCCGTCCCCGTTCGCCGCCGGGCTGTGCGGAGACGCCACAGGGAGCGGAGCCGAGGGAAGGCCGGGGACGAGGTGACGGGGGAGGAGGAGACCCCGGGGCGGAGAGCGGGACGGGGCAAAGGGGGGGAGCGGGTCCAGTACCTTCCAGGATCACCTCCCTCCCGGCGCGCTTCAGCGCCTGCACGGCCTGGTCGTGGGTGGCGTCGCGAAGGTCCACGCCGTTCACCGCCAGGATGGCATCGCCGAGCCGCAGCGCGCCGCTCCGCTCCGCCGCCAGCCCCGGGAAGATGCGGGAGATGAGCACGGGCATGCGGTTCTCGCGACCGCCCTTGATGCTGATGCCGAGCCCGCCCGCCTCCGCCTTCACCACCCGCACCCTCCGCACGCAGCCGGGCACGGCCGCCTCCGCGCCGCCCCACTCGCCGCCGCCGTTGGCCACGCCGTTGAGCCCCGGGGTCGGTTCTCCGGGCTCGGCCGTGAGGCTCAGCGCCTCTCCGCTCAGCTCGGCCGCCACCCGCACCCAGCGCTCCCGCAGCAGCAGCTCCAGCAGCCCCGCCTTGGAGGCGCGCGTCCACACGGCCATGCCGCCACCGCCGCGCCGCTCCGCCCCGCCCCGCCACGGGTCCCGCCGCGAGGACACGCCCCACGCCCGCATGGCGAGAGGCTATTGGCTGTGCGCGTCGCGAGAGGCGGGGCGAGGGGCCCTTCCAGCGTTCCGATTGGCGAGGGCTGGAGGCGGCGGCGGGGCAGCGCGCCGCGGACTGGGGGCGGGGGAGGCGGGGGTTCGGTGCTCCGGTAAGGACGAGAGAACAGCGTGAGAACAGCGCGTTTATTGAGGTGGCCGGCGCTAAGTGCCGAACTTCTGCTGCTGCACGGGCGGCGGAAGCTCTGCGTTGATGTCCACGGCAGGCCGCTCCACCGTCACCAGGCAGCGCTCGTCCAGAAGGTCCGCGAACAGCAGCGGCTGTGGGCACAACGGTGTGAGCGCAGGGAACGCGACAGAGCACCGAGGGCAGCGGTGCCAAGGGCGCTCCCGGGTATGAGATGCACGCAGGGACCGCGCCGCCCACCTGGAACTTCTTGCAGATCTTGAAGGCGTGAAGGTGCCGGCGCCGGGCGGGCTCTGAGAGCTGCTTCAGGGTGCTCTGGTTCATCAGCAGGGCGTTGTTGTCGGGCAGGGGCTGCGGGCACGGCCCGTGTCAGTGCTGCAGCTTGGGCACCAAACCCTGTGCCCACCCCCTCAAGTGCCGCACACCACCCGCCCTTCCCTTTGAACCAACACAAGCAACCCCTGCGAAGCTCCAGCAGTGCCCTTGTCAGCTCACCAGGGACTTGTCAAGGACACACAGCATGTAGACATCGTGCAGCAGGACCTGCGAGGTGTTCTTCGGGTTGAAGGTGATGTGGGTGATGGGTGAGTCCCTCTCCAGCCAGAGCCTGTGCAGCCCGCTGTTCTGCACAGCACGGCTCCAGGCCGTGTACTGCTTCTCAGGGATGCTGAACTCAAAGAGCTGTGGCACAGGAGAGAAGATGGGTCCCCATCATGAGCCCAATGCCAACACACAACCGATCCCAAGCAGCACACGGCTGCCGCAGGCACAGCTCCCACCTGCTGGTCCGAGTAGGAGATAAAAAGGTTGTTGGTTGCTGGGTGGATGGCGAGGGCTGTCACCGCACAGCTGTAGGTGGGCACCGTGCAGTGGTGCTGAAAGGCAGAAGGACAACACTGTCCCACGTGTCCTCGGCCACCCGCCGGTACCTCCCCCAATGCCCGGCTCCAGGGACACCTCAGAGGGCCCCACACAGAGCCCTGCCTGTACCTTGAAGTGTTTCAGGCTGTAGACATGCACCTCCCAGTCCCCGCTGACCGCAGCCAGCCAGTTCCCATCAGCACTCGATGCCAGCAGGTAGACAGCTTCCCGGCTCCCTGAACAACACACACACAATTGCTACACAGACACAAGAAAATGCTACACAGTCACAGTCAGGACAAACAAGTACCCAGAAATGCTCTCCATCTTCACCCCCATGCTCTCAGACGCCTTAAATTACTCCAAGGTGTCCCAGATCTAGGGCAGCACCCACAGGGGCCACAGTGCCTGCTCCCTACCTGCGGGTGGGCGCAGCGTGTGCAGGTGTTTGCAGCCTCCCAGTTCCAACAGCTGCACCACATGGACAGAGCCTCTGTCAGAGGCGATGAAGAGTCTGCCTGAGTCGGAAGCACACTGCAGCTGGTAGGCTGGGAGCAGCAGCTTGGGCACGCCGGGGACCTTGCAGGTGGAGAAGGCAGCACTGGCAGTCACACTGCTGACAAGCAGCCCCACTGCTGCTGACCCACACGCTGTGCCACCAGCAGCCCCAGCTCCCTGCGAGACCCCCCAGCCCTCACCTTCTTGACACTGATGCTGTCGCCCTCATGCTGCACACGGTAGAGGTGGAAGCGAGACGCAGTGCTGTAGGCAATCCAGCTGCCACAGGGTGAGACGCAGCTGCAGTAGATGTGCTCAGGACCCTGGAGATGTGGAGGTGCTGAGTGGGGTCCGCAGAGCACCCTGGCACTCGCAACTTGGCCATCGGAGGAAGCAAAGCTGCCAACTCCAGTTCAGTCTTACCTTGCTCTTGAGCTGCAGGAGGTGCTCCGGCATGCGGCTCACGGGAAGGACCTCTCCATCCTTTCCTGGAATGACAAACAAACATCAGTAACAACAGAAACTATGCAGGCCCTGGTGAGAATAGCAGGGGACCCAGAGGGCGTGGTCCAGACACCAGGATGGATCCAGACCCTTCCCTGGCCGCCTCGAGGCCTCAGGGCACCACCCAGCTCAGCAAGAAGAGTACGTTGCCAGCAGCACCACGGTCCTGCACAGCACTGGGTAACACAGCCGTAAGCAAAGCTGGGCTGCACCATTCCTCCACTGCCCTGGCAGATTGCGCCCTGCAGTCCTCCAGACACTGCCCTGGAGTTAAACTCAGAGGTCTGTACCCAACAGACACCAGCAGACGTACCAGTTTTATTAGTAGAGCCAAGTCTCCAGAGCTCCAGGTGCTGGGAGAACTGGAAGAGGAGGAGCCGGGCTTTCCTGGCACAGGAGACAAGGCGTCGCTGCAGGCAGAAACGGGCACATTATCATGGACCACAGCCTGGCAGAAAGGGTTGGTCCAAAGCTGCAATGGCTTGGGCTGCCAGCAAGCAACAACTCAGGTTCTATGGGATGAGAACCAGGAGAGGGAGCCGCAGCAGGACCAGTAGGACAGGCTCATCAACTCTACTCTCCATCTCACTGCATCACAGGAGCCCACAGGCGTGCCAGGGCCAGGAGGGGACCCAGCGGGGCAGGCAGAGCCTGGCTGCTCCCACAGAGCTCACCTCATGGCCCCAGGAGCCACCACAGGACCCTGCTTAGAGCCACACTCACGTGGGGAAGGGTGAATTTCCTTAGCGCTGTGTCGTAGCCCTTCTTCTGTACCTTCTCCATGAGCGGGCGGATCACCAGCTGGGCATCCAGGCCTGGAAACCAAGTGGAGCTCATACAAGCAACTATTGGAGGGGGGTGAGAGGGGGGAAGGGAGGACGGGGGGGAGGGAAGAGAAGAGGGGGAGGGGGGGACAGGAGGGAAGGGAGAGAAGCCATCGAGCTTCCCCACACAGCGCTCACCTCCAGAGATGAGAGCTGTCGGGGTGTGCACCACAGCTCGCACGTCGTGGGTGTGATGTTGGAATGGCTTCGTCTTCACCCAGCGCTTCTCCTGGCCGCCTGCCTTCACTGGCAGCAGCTGGAACTGGTAAGTGGCCCCCGCCGAGGTGCCCACCACAATGCTGTCCTCTTCCTGGGAGAAAGAGAGGGCTGTTGATCACAGGGCACAGCGATGGATACCACCTGGGTGCTGGCACTGCTGTCCCGGCCCAGGGTGACCTCACCTCTGACACAGCCAGCGAGAGTGCAGCTGAGGTGCTGACAGTGTGGGAGTCCTGCAGAGTCCCTCGCTCCCAGTCCCAAAACTGCACTCTCCCAAATGAATCTGAGCTGACGACGGTGCCACTCGACAGGAAGGCGATGCTCCACACGACGCACTCGCGCTTCTTGGACTTTGGCACATGATAGTTCACCATGATCCTCTGGGCTGTTCGGCCTGAGGTAGGGAAGGGTTGTTCAAGATGGGGAGAGAGTGGGATGACCTCAGGCTCCTCACTTTGTCCTTTCCCTGCGTCCTGTGCGCTGCAGGACTCCCAGGCTGGGAGCTGTGGCAGTGTCAGGCAGACATCCCAAAGCACAGACTTGTGGCTGCTGATGGTGCCCCAGGACAGGGGACACCGCAGGCTCCCCCTGAAGGCTGCTCCAAGGAGCGATGCCCCAGTCTGGGGCAGTTCATTACCTGAGCGGACATCAAGCACACGGATGAAGTTGATGGAGCCAGCTGCCAGGTGGGTCCCCGAGGGATGCCAGGAGAGGCACAGCACACGTCCTGTAGAGATGGAAGCTCCAGGTGTGCTCCAGGGCACAGCAGCCTTTTGGTGACCAGAATGGCACAAGGAGTAGACAAGGGGATGGCCCTGCAGAGCCCCCCACACTCACCTTTCTGCCGGTCCAGGTTCTTCTCAAACTGAACACCCCCAGGCACCACCTGGAAGAGCTTCACCGAGCCGTCCTCACAGCCAATCTAGGGATTGGGGGGTGTAAGGATCAGCTCCTGGGGGTGGCAGCTCCTCGGCCATTGTGAGCCCCATCCCTGCTGCTCACCGCCAGCCGTGTGCCATCGTTGTTGGCAGCCATGCTCCAGATGGGTCCCCCGAAGCCATCGACAGCGCGGGCCGGGTGCAGCCGCTCCAGGTCATACTCAGTGATGTCCCCACTCAGGCCGGCCCCAAAGAGCCGCTCCCCTGCTGCCCAGCACAGCGCTTCCACTGAGCGTGCCTGGTGCCCGGGGATGGCCTAGGGAAGCAGGCCCCATCACCACGGCTCTGTTCCACCCGTATCCCCACCGCCCTCAACCCCGTGGCCCCTGGTTCCCTGCTGCTTCTCCCCTGCCACCCCACACCCGGTTCCTCCCGAGTTCCTGTTAACACCCCAGCCGTGCTCTTCTCAATAACCCCCGGTTCCACACTGTCACATGACCAGGTTCCCCCGCCGGTCCTCCACCATCAGCCTCCACTCACCATCCCCACCATTCACCCCCGGTTTCCCATCTATCACCCCGCCCAGTCCTCCCCTTCGTTACCCTCAGCCCCCAGCCCAGTTCTCCCCGCTCTCCCTCCGTCTCCCTTCCATCACCCAGCCCCGCTCCCACCTCCTGCCTCCCCACACAGACTCCCCACCACCACCACCCGGCCTGGTCCTCCCCGTTCTCCCCGCATTCCCCGCCCACCTTCTCCATGTAGTAATTAGCGGCGAAGTTGTACACCTCGACGGCGCCGTCGGTGCGGGCGAGCGCCAGGCGGCAGCCGCGGTGCCGGTAGGCCATGCAGCGCACGCCGGCGGGCACCAGGTCGAAGAACCGGACGCGGTGCACCTCAAACTCCCCCATCGCGGCTCCCGGCCCCGCTCCGCTCCGCCCTGCCGGGCCCCACGTGCGGCGCCGCGCTCCCGGAAGCGGAAGTGATCCCCAGTACCTGGAAGCGGAAGAGCAGAGCAGAACGGCGGGAGATTCGGGTGTGCCGGGCGGTGGGAGCGGAGCCGGGGGTGCGGAGCGAGGCGGGCGGCACCCAGCCGGGACGGAACAGCGGGGAGGGCAAAGGGCTGCGCGCACGGGGGGGCACGGAAGGTGCTGGGGGTGTGAATGGGACACGGGACTCCAGGAGGCACGGGGGGGGCGGTGCGATTTTGGGGTACAGGGCTCTGGGCGTAGAGGACTCGGTGGGGTGTGGGCATGGGGAGGAATTTAGAGCATGGGGAGGGCATCAAGGCATAGGGAGCAGCTGGATATGATGGGAGGTATGGTGCTCGGGGCGCTGCGGGTTTGGTGGGGTGTGGGGTTATGGGGGAGCTCGGGGCATGGGGGGCAAAGCAAGGCACAGGGGGCAGCTGAATATAGTGGGGCTTTGAATGGAGTTGGTATGGGAACGTTGGCTTAGTAGATTCATTGGGACATAGGAAAGGATCATGGCACAGGGGACGTGGGACGGTTCAGGGTATGGGTTTGAGGAGATGGGGGTCCCAGTATCACGCAGCAGCCTGAGGGCTCTTCCCATCCCATCCCCTTGCAGTGACAGCAGCTCTGCAGAGCCCGCATTATGGTGCAGCTCATCATCTCCAGGTGAGTGAGGGCCTGGGCCTGCCACGCTCGGGTGCCCTGTGCCCGGTGGGCGACACCACTCCTCTCCCTGGCAGTGCTGGTGCAGGCAGCCTGGAGCGCTGGGTGCTGGTGGAGCTGCAGGGAGAGGTGGAGCCGCGTGGTGGCGGTGCGCTGCCTGGGAGTCTGCTGGGAGACCTGCACTACACACGGGAGGTGAGCAGCGCTCTGTGAGCCCGGGCTGTGGGGTGGCGATGCCCACAGGCCGTCCTCACCCCACTTCTCCCACGCAGGGCATCCCCGTGCTCATCGTGGGTCACCACATCCTCTATGGGAAGGTGGTGCAGCTGGAGAAGCCCTTTGCTGTCCTGATGAAGCAGGCGGCCGACCCTGCAGGGACGCGCTACGCTGTTACCGCCCTCATCAAGACCAAGCTGCTCTTCAAAACGCGGCCCAAGCCCATCATCACCAACGTGCCCAAGAAGGTGTGAGGACACAGATCTGCTGCCACAGGAGCAATGCTTTTCCTTTGTGATGCTGCCGAGGACAGCTGGGGCATGAACGCAGCGCCCACCTTAGGCAAGGGGCATCCTGCAGGGCCAGGCTGTGCCCCTAATGGGGGCTGCACATGACGTGCCACCAGCACTGCCTCAAGTACCAGAACTCAGCTCTGCAGCCATGCACATCGTGCTGCCAGCTCTGCCCATCCTCCTGCCTGTGCCGGGTATGGCTTGGGCACACTCTCAAGCTGGCTGCCTCCTCATGTGCCCTTCTAAAGTCACTCCTGCAGCCAGCAGAGCTGCAGACAAGGTCTATCACTTCTGTTTTAGCACCTTCCCCCCTTGAGTCTCCCCAGACTGGGAGCCCACGTGGAGTCGGGCAGGGGGAGCAGGGATGACACACCATGTTTTCTCTGTGCAAGTCTTTATTGTGTCAAATCCACCAGGATATAAAAAACAGACCTCTCAAAATATGAAAAAAATAGGAGTTAAAAAATAAATAGATTTACAAACAATCAGCAATAAAGTGTAAATACGAAAAGAGCTACAAAAGTCTCCTAAAAAATCCCATCTTAAATAAAAAGCCTGACTTGTACAAAGGTTTTAGCCCTGAAAAGAGGGCCCAGAGGAGATGGCCGTGGGTAAATACCCAGGGGGACACAGTGGGCAGGGAAAGGCTGGGAACTGGCTCTCCCCGCCCTCCTCTGCATGCCCAGACCTAAAACCCAGCGCCTCCCCGCTGTCTAGACGGATGCCAGGTTCCCTCCTCGCTTCCAGAGCTAGGGGGCAGAGGAGGGGCGGTGGAGAAGGCAGCTGGCAGGAAGCCGGGACGAGGTTGGCTTCTTTATGGTGCCGTGGGCTGGCCGGACCATCAGCAACCCATGCTCCAGCTGACCCACGGCCCGGGTTTTTCTGCTTCTGCCCAGGCTGCGGGCACAAAAATGGGGTGCCAGTGCCCCCTCCATATGCTCTTTGGCAAAGCACAACAGAGGAGCTGCCCTCCTGGGGCAGCCAGATCCCCAGAATGGAGTTGGAGGGAGCTGTGGGTACATGCCTGCACATACACAGCCATGGGGATGGGGGTGGGTGGCTCTTGGGGACATTCAGAGCTCCATGGAGACAGAGCAGGGGATGCTGAGCCCCCGTGGGTGGGCCCAGCTGGCAGCACCAGCCAGCGGTGCCTGGCATTGGCACAGCACCTGAGCGACGTGGTGCCAACGTTGGGATGAAATCCGATTTCTGTCCCTAAATCATGGCAGAGAGGGGGCTGAGCCTGCAGCCGGCTCCCGCCCATGCAGGGGCTGCACAGGGATGGTGGGGAAAAAATCCTGGGGCGCAGCAACTCCAGCAGCATTGAGCATCACAGCTCAGCACCTGGCTGGACACGTGGGGTCCATCCTCCACAGTGCCACGGGGGGAACATCGGGGGTCCCAGGAAAGCACCAAAGGATGGGGCCCAGCAGGGCAGGGGGAGCCCAACCAGCGGAGCTCCCGCTGTGCCCTCGCACCAAGGCAGCGAAATGCTCAGCGTGGCACAAGGAAGGACCCTGCAGCACCAAGGCTGTGCCAAGCACAGCTCCAGACAGCCCCGGCGCGGCCGCTAGCACCCTTGGGGCTGAGTTTTACAGAAAACAACAACAAAAAAAATTAAAAATAATTAAAAAGGAAAAAAAAGAAAACAACCGCAATTAAAAAAAAAAAAAAGCAAGACTTGATCACAAATGCTGACCTTGGGGTGCGCTCAGCGCTGCCGCACGCAGGGAGCAGCAGCCGGGTGGCCACCGGTGGGTCAGCGCCAACCGCGAGGGGACCCACGGCGTCCTCACACCTCGGCAAAGACCAACCCGCACTGCTCCTGCCGCTTCCCGCAGCGCCGCGCCACCATGGCCAAGTAGAGCGTCAGCAGGGCCACCCAGTAGCAGGCGTAGAGGACGGCACCCGAGACGAGGAAGGCAACCTCGGTGTCGCTGAGCAGGTCCTGGCTGTAGGCTGTGTAGGCCAGGCCGCCCAGCAGCACGGCCGCCCACACCGACACCGGCAGCAGCCCCACAAAGTTGACCACGATGGTGCGGCGGCCCGACGTGCCCCAGCCCGACTTGTTGATGGTGGCGATGGCAAACATCTTGGCGGGCAGCAGGCTGGACATGTAGAGCAGGGCGTAGAGGGAGACGAAGATCATCTCAGCGCTGCCGCGCAGGAAGCAGGCGTAGGTGGCCTTGATGATGCCCACCAGCTGCACCGTCAGCAGGAAGAGGAGGATGTTCCAGATGCGCCCGCGGTAGAAGAGCTGGATGACGGTGGCGATGAGGAAGAAGGGGAAGAAGCCGGTCACCACCGACTCGTAGGTCATCCAGAGGTGGTGCTTGTGGAACCACAGCGCGTTGTAGAGCCACTCACGGAAGTAGGACTTGCTCCAGCGGGTCTGTTGGTTGAGCCAGCGCAGGTAGCGTGTCGGCGTCTCCGTCAGGCAGCGGGAGCGTGCTGTGTACTTGGTCTGGTAGCCCAGGCTGAGCACGCGGTTGGTGAGATGCCGGTCGTCCCCAAAGCTGCACTTGGTGCCCAGGAAGGTCTGGTGGTACCAGTCCTCCAGGAACTGCTGCAGCAGCGCGTTGCGGTACATGCCCAGCGGGCCGCTGATGCACTGCACGCAGCCGAAGTAGGACTGGCAGGCACGCTCCACATTGAAGGCCATCCAGTACCGCACGCTGCTCAGGAAGGAGATCCACGAGTCGTACTTGTTCAGGATCTGCGGAGGAGACGGGGTCAGTGCCACCAATGCAAGAGCGGCGCCCCGTGCGCCCCCTCTCTGTCCCACCACCGTACCTGGACATCGCCACCGACGCCACCGACACGGGGGTCGGCCTCCAGGATGCGGAGCATCTCGGCGGTGCAGGCGGGGTCCAGCACCGTGTCTGAGTCACACACCTGGGGGCAGAGGCAACGTCGAGCCCCGCTCCGCCGCCCACACGCGCCCGGCAGACGGCCCAGCCCCAGCCGGGCAAGCCTGAGCCACGGCCGGCGAGACGAGGCAGAGCCCGCAGAGCAGCGGGCGGTGAGGGGAGCGGAGCGCTCCATGCTGCCGGACACCGCTGCCCCAGGACACCCAGTTCTGGTCAATGGCATAGCAGTGGGACACACCGGCTGACCCCAACCCACGCATGGGGGTCCGGGCCCCATGCGGTGCTGCACGGTGTCCCCCGGGTGACACCGGCACGCAGCAGGGGATGCACCAAGGAAGCAACGCTGAGCTCTCCCACGCGGCGCCGCACCCCGTGAGTCCCCAGATCACCCCGCATGTCCCCCCCCCACCCGCCTGGACCCCACATCCACCTGGATGTAGTCCACGGAGTCTCCGAGCGCCCGGAAGGCCGTGTACATCACCTCGCGCTTCCCGCCCCACTTCTGCAGGATGCAGGAGTACGTGGTGCCGCGCACCAGAGCCTGCACGTGGGCCAGTCCTTCCTGCAGCCCAGCCTCTGTTTCGCCCTCGCCCCGTGCGTGGAAGTTACTCCTCCAGACGTAGCTGCCCACGCGCTCGGAGCCCATCACATCGTGGAAGATGTCCAGCATGTAGGTGTCATCCGGGCCGTTGCCGTCCACCACCATCACCACTTTGAGGTCAGGGAAGGCGATGCGCTTGACAGAGTGCAGGCACTTCTTCAGGTAATCGGGATCCTCCTGGTAGGCGGCGATGCAGAGGGCCACGGAGCGGCCCAACCGCACCGGCTGTCCCTCAGCCCTCATGCGTCGGTGCTCCAGGAAAGCAAAAAGGCTCTGGATGAAGAGGTGCAGCCCCAGGATGGCCCCGTAGAGCCCAAAGGAGAGGTAATGCTTCTCCGTGTGGATGAACTGGTACCCGGTGACATAGGCGGCCAGGATGCCCCCCAGCACCGCCAGCGCGAAGAGGCTGGTCCCGACGACACGCAGCGCCGTGGAGAGGCTCACTGGCATCTGGGTGGGATGGGACAGTCAGGGCACGGCCACCACCCAGGGGGCAGCGCGATGCAGGCACAGTGACCGGGTGGTCTCCCAGCCCACGTGAACCTCATCCCCACGCAGACATCGCTTTTGGGATTTCCCCACCCGCAGCCCTGTGGGGCTGGGCTGGAGGACAGGGAAGGGCACGGGAACAACGGGCAGCGGGCTGACCCCGGGGGGCAGGGACGGCCCCGGGACCCCTGGTCCTCGTACTGCGGGACCCGGCTCGGCCCCTCCCTGGTCCTCGACCCCAACTGCGGGACGGGGACTGCGCCGCGGGGCCGGGGGAGCCCGGGGCTGAGGGAGGGGGCGGGGGCGGGAAGCGCTTCCCGGGGGCTCCGCAGCGCCCCGCCGCTCCCGGTCCTCCCCCGCCCCGCGGCCCCCGGTGCCGCTCCGCGCTGTGGGGGGGCCGCGGGCGGTCCTGCAGAGCCGCGGGGGCGGAGGAGCCCCGGGCTGGCACCGGCGGGGCTGGGAGGGAGGGAGGAAGGAGGAGGGGAGGGACCGTACCGGGACTCACCGTGCTGCTACCGGTGCGGGTACCGGTGCCGGTGGTGCCGCTCGCCCCGGCCGCCGCCGCCGCCGCTGTGCGCCCGGCCCGGCCCGCGCGGCCGCTTTATACCGCGGCGGGGCCGGCACCGCCCGCAGCCCGCGGGGTCTCCGCCCGACACCGGGACCGGCACCCCCGGCACCAGCACCCCCGGCACCACCCCCGGCCCCGCCCGCAGCCCCCGGGACCCGCCCGGCACCGGCCCCGCACTGCGGGATGCACCGGGCGCCGGGTCCGTCCCCACCCGTCAGCCGGGGACAGCTGGGAAACCCGGGGACACGGATCTAGCAGCCCCGTGCCATCCTCCAGGACCCTCCCCACCTCCCCGCGTCCCCTCCGTAGCCATCAGCCACCGCCTCCCGGGGACACACGGGGACACCTCGTGGCTGTCATTCTGTCCCTGTGCCCCCTCAAGAACGGGAGACCTGCGCCCATCACACGCGATGTCCCCGTGCCAGGCTGACGGCAAGGCACCGCCAGCCCCGGAATGGACCCCGCCGAGCCGCAGCCTTTCTTCTTTGGGCTCAGATCCCGCACTTTTGGGTTCCTCCCCGGCTGGGTGCAGGGCTCGGTGCCGCCCTCCAAGGGGACACTCCCTGGGCGGACCCCGGGGGTCCCCCGCGCACGGTGGGACGAGCTGGGACCCCCGCACTGCTGTCGGGCTCCCACGTGGCACCAAACGGTCGCATCTGTGTCCCTGCTGCTGGGGCACGGGGTGTCCCGGCACTGCAGGGAAGGGACGGGGACAGGAGGGTGCACACCGCGCCCCGCTGCAGGTGCCCAGCGCTGGGGTTACGCTGCGGCCCCGTTACCTTTCAGTGTGATCGCAGCTCCCGGGTGCTCTCCCCGCACGAGTGCTTCCCAAGGTATAAATAAAATTTCCTCCTCCTCCGGCACAGAAATCTCCTTGTTCGCAGCGGCAGAATTGCAGTCAGACGCCCAGGGAGCTGCATTAATACAGACTTCTCATTCAAACCCTTCCTCTGGCCGTCTGCTCCAGGCCCTGGCAAAGCACAGCCGGTACGGCTGCATCCCGGCGTGCGCCCGCAGCCCAACGCCGGCAGCGGCTGGCGGCGGTGACAGCGCAGTGGAGCGCCGGTCCGCCAACGAGGACAATGCGCTCCTGGCCACACACACAGCACGGCACGGCACAGCACGGCGCTGGTGGCTTTGCTGGGGGTGGGGATGCAGCCCGGTACCCCAACCTTGTGGGGCTGTGGTGCAGCAGCACTGTGCAGCCCCTGGCTGGGGGTGGCTGAACACTGGTTTGCCACAGGGTGCCGGAGCCCCGGGTACCCTGCTGTGATCCTGCAGCCCCCTGCCCTGTTCACCCACTCTGCTCAGGATGCGCAGTGATGCTGCAGGGTTGGGATGTCCCCCTTGCTGGGGTACCCCTGGGGGCTGCCCTGAAAGAGGGAGAGGGATGACCCCAGTGCTAGAATGCCCCCAAACAGTGGTTTACTGTGAGGGCCTGCAGCCCCCTGAGCACAGAGGAGCTCCAGTGCAGGTCCACAGCGCTGTCAAATAGGCAGAAGGGCTCCAGTACTGGTGGGGTACAGGAGGTTGGCAATACCATCTCCATTTCCTTATTTTCTCCTGGGAAAATCACTCAAATATGGATAAAATTACATTTTGAATCTGATTTGGCTGCTGCTTCCAGATATCTTTTCCCTTGGCCCATAAATGCCTCTTGATGCCCACAGGAACCCCAGGGACTGAAGGGCTGAACACCCCTGGCCATTCCAGGGTCCTGACACCCCAAATCCCCCAGTACCCAGGGGCTCTCCACGTGTCTCACGGCTGAGATGGCACCAGGGCACTGCGTGGCTCCCAGAAACAGACAACACACAGCAGAGGATTTCTCCTTTTAATCTCACCCCCCCACGCTGCCCCGGACGAGGGGCACTGGAGATGCCACGTGCCCCCAGCACCGCTGTGGCTACACCACGGCTGACACCTGCTGAAGGCAGCCCGGGGGCACAGCAAACACGTCTCCTCCAGGGAGCAAATTGACACAGCACCGGAGCAGGAAAAGTGGCTTTCTGGCTCCCGGCACCCGCTATGGCAGCACCACGATTTTCTTTTCCAGCACCTGAGGAGGGAAGAGGACGCTCCTCATGGCCGTGTCCAGCTCCTCCAGTGCCAGCTGGGCGTGCAGCACGGCCGCACCGTCGGGCTCAGCTGCCACCACGTGCTTCAGCAGGCGGTACAGGTCCCGCAGCACGTCCTGCAGCACCTGGGGAGAGCGGGCAGCAGTCAGAACCCGCCGGGGCCTCCTCAGCACCCGGGGTGAGCCCCAAACACAGCGCATGGCGTGTCCCGGCAGGTGCCCCATCCACCTGGCCAGCAGCGGGACGTGGCCCCGCCGCACTGCTGATTCACAGCCCTCCCCTCCCGTGACTCAGTTTCCCCACACGCAGGCAGCACTGCATGATCTCCCCAAGCCCCTTGATCCTTGGGGGACACGGGTGCAAGCCGGGCAGCCCCGGCAGCAAACCCTGTGGACACAGCAGTTGAGGACAGCCACCAGACTGCAGCACCAAGCCCTGGGAGGGAGCAGCACCCTCAGCCCCTCCCTAGGATGAGGCCCCGTGAGCAGCCCCAGTGACAGCATGGGGCACAGAGTCACTGCCTGCACAGGGACACAGCAGGAAGCAGAGCTGCTGGGGATTCCAATTGGGAACCAGCTGCTTCCTTCCTAGGAACTGAGTCCCAACACACTCATTGCTGGGAAGGAGGGAGGAAGGCAACGATGACCTTAGGAAACCTGGTCCTTTCCAGGTCAAAGTATCCATCACCAGGGCTCCAAGGGCAACTTCCCAGAGCTTCTCAGGATATTGTTTGTCATCATGGCCCCTCTGCCCCAGGAAGGAGGATGATGTGCTGGTTACTCTTCAGTGGTTGAGCACAAGGACATGGACACTGGCACCAAGCACCCATAGGCAGCACCTGGGAGAGGTTCTGAGGCAGTTGGTTTGCTGAGACAAGCAGACATGGGCTCAGGAGGAGCCGTGAGTGGAAGATGAAGCACATCAAGACTGTGACACAAAAACATCACTGCGCCACACGCCTGTGTCCTTACTGCACCCAACTTGGGTCCTGCAATCGGAGGGGCTATCAGAGTCCCCAACCCACTCGTGCCCCATGGTGGACTGGCAGAATAATGCACCAGGGACTGGTGTGCCCCCAGATGGCTGCACGCTGATCTTGAGCTGCTCTTGCCTCTCCCAGTGTGCTCCTCTGCTCGCTCCTTCTACAGGGAGGGCAAGAATGGAGGGAATAGATGAGAAGGGCCGTTTTGGTGCAAAGAAACAGAAACAATTGCAATTAGGACTTAGAAGGGCTTTGTCCAACTGGGCTCTTCCTGACACTGGCTGTGCTGGTGCTGAGAGCACTGTTTATAAGAGGATGAGTTGGTGCACCCAGCCCAGCCCTCTCCAGGCTGTTCCCACCAGGAACATGGTACACGCTGCTGCTCACACCAGAATCAGCAATAACGCAGGCAGAGAGCCTGCAGCTGTTCAGGTAATTATAGCTCAGTTAATTTTCTCCTAACTCACTGCAGCTGCTCCACACACTGCTGCCAGGAAACTGGGAGGCACTGTGGAGCAGGAGGGAGCCCTCAGGGTGAGCACAGCCACCACCAGCACGGGGACATGTTGAGGTGGTGCTGGATGCAACAGCCCCTAAGAGTAGGGGGGCATCCCCAGCTCGAGGGGAACTGCCTGGAACAGAAAGTTCCCCCACATGCACACCCAGCCCCGTCCCTGCTGCCCTCCTTGTCACTGGGGTGGGGGACACTCCCGAGGGGCACCATGCAGTGGGAAGGGACCCACCTCAGTTGCCTTCTTGCTGAGCCCCCGCAGCAGCAGCACCACCACATGCACAGCTGCTCTCCGCACCTCTGCCTCAGGGTCCGTCTTGGCGATGGCCGTCAAACAGGAGGACACCTGTGAGGATGGCACAGGGAGATCAGCACAAGCACACAGGGTGACCTGGTGGGGACAATGTGTGGCTCTGGTACTTGGCTTGTGGTCCGAGTCTGGTGGATGGGGATGGAAAAACCCTCCCAGCACCTCCATCCTTCAGCAACACTGCTCTGGATGCTCTGCAGATCTGTCGCTGGGCAGCAGCATCACACTAAGAATTGGGGCAGTTTGCTCGGGGCTGGGACAGGCTCTGCTTATGGTCAGTGGCTGCAGAACAAAGCAGTGGTGAGCCACACACTCAGGATGGGATTTCATCATCGGTACTGAAGCACAGAGACTTTTCCTGAGCCCAGAAGAGGATGCAGCCCTGCGTTCTTCTCCTTCCAGCTGCAGAGCTGCAGGCAAGCCGTCTGCCTCACTGCAACAGTGCAGAGCACTGAAACAGGGGGCTGGACTTCTGCAGTAAAAATCAGAACTGCTGCAAGTCCTGCAGAGCGTCTGGCATTATGAGTGCCAGGGTGAGCAGTCCAGCTGATGCTGGCACTGTGCTGGCTGTCAGCTGTCACCCTGAGCGTGGCAGCAGGTGAGAAGGCAGCGCCGGTCCCTCTGCAAAGCTCACCCACGTCAGAGGGCACCGAGCCCAGCAGGACTGCAGCGTGCTCCTAGGTGACACGCAGTGTCCTTAAAAGCCCGCACGGAAACCCTGCTGCCCAGGGGCTGTGCTGTCCTCAAAGCACTGAGCTGCAGGGCACTGAGCACTGCCTCTGCCAGGGGCCGAGCGTAGTGCAGACATCTCTGAGAGCTTTAAGAAAAAGCGGAGTTGAAAGAACCTCATCAAACAGCCAGTGACAGGAGGGAGAATTAGCAGAGTGAGTGCGTTCCTGAAATAGCTGCATGTGTGGTGCATTGGCATCTCATCAGATGCTGTCATTACCCAACTGATGCGCGAGCAGCAAGAGGGAACCCAGGGAAAAAAGCCAGAGCTCAGTGCCGGTGCTTTGCCTGCCCTCCAGCCCTGTGCACTGGCTCTGCTGCTGAGCCCTCATGGCAGCTGCTGGGCACGGGGGCGCAGCTCTCAAGATGCACAGATGCAGACTGGC